GCGACGAGCAGCTGACCAGGCTGGCGGAGACCCTCCCTCCGGATTGGCCGAGAGGATCTTTGCCTTCCTCCCCGAGCCCCGTCTCCTGCTCCTCTCCCTTCCCACAGCTGCTTCCCTCCTCTCCGATTCCCGACCACGCCCACTCGACCCGCTCCACCACGGTGACGTCGCTGTGATGTCGTGAAACGGCAAGACGGAGCGCTGTGGAAACTACAACCGAACTCCCGATTGGAGAAGTTAACAGCATGCAAGAGTGGGCCTGGTCTCACTCAATCAATGCACACAGTCCGTCGCTCTTGACGCCGCAAACACCGTCACGTGCCTCGTGTTATTCGCGCCCCGACTGAAACTTTTACAAGAGAAATAATAGCGCATCTGCCTTAAGTTTGAAATTTGCCCAACCGCTGCCGTTCTTACCTGCTCTGGAAAGAGAGCCACCAGGTTGGCAGGGCCCAAGAAAATATCGAAAACATGCAAGATCGTTCGGTTTTTAATGAGGGTCATTTTCTTCTATTGCTTAAAAGCTTCCACCTGTTGTAGGAATACTGGACACATCGCCTTGAGATCTTGGAATAATGGAGTCTTGTTTTTTTCCCCCCCGAGTTAGGACAAGGGCCGCAAAGCCTTAAATGTTGATATGCAATTTTCTTTCAACTTGCTTCAGACACAATACTCAGTACATGACAGAGAAGAACAGACTCTTACTAGTGATAATGTGAAGACGGTAGGGAAAATGCAACGGTGCAAACGTTGCTCTCATGGAGGCAACTTTGAGTTTCCTCAAATAGACAACCATGTTTGCTGGTGGCCAAAGACAAAATAGGACAAAATGGCCACTAAAATTAAATTACACTTATTTTCATGTTGATGTCAAAGAAGGAAGAGTCCAAAGATTGGATCGGGATGCAATGTTGAACGTGTTTTGTCATATTTACATTTTTGGGTGGCCCTAACTTATTGATATTAATATAAATCACAAAATAAGCCCGTCTTCAACATTTGAGCATAAGTTATTATTTTAGATTTAGACATTAAATTAACCTAGCAATGCCAATGAATGCCTTTTGATCTAACAGGGCTTAAAATTGGATTCATTATTCTATTAACTCCTTTTGGTTCCAGTTGTGTTTTCCTGCTCTTAAAGAACCCCGCAAACATCAGGGTTTTTTTTTTTTTCTTGTCAAAAAAATTAAGCAGCAGATGGAAATATTGGCCATATTTTTTCACGCTATCCACTCGAGACTATGCACTTACTCATCAAATACACAACATACTTTTTTGAGGTTCCTCCAATCAGTTAACCTCATGCCATTGAATGTCAAGAATAAGTTAAACGTGTCATGTTCTTTATTGAGGCAGCAGTGCAGATATTTAAAATGTTTTTAACAACGTGAGTACACGTTTTATTCGTGCTGAAATGTCTAAAGGACACTATTTTATCCTCCAGCCACAAATGTTACCTTTTTCTAGTTCAGAGAGCACATTTTACATATCGTCAGTCTTTCCTATTCTCCAAATATCACCCACAAAATCTATCACGCTCACTTTTTGATTTACTCCTCGTAGGCACAACAGATGATCCCAGATGGGTTTTGCTGGTTGACTTGCTGGACCTATAAAAAAAAAAAAGTTGGATGGTTGGAAAATGGCTCCTGATGTTCGTTTATTTTGTTTTTGCTAAATAAATATATTTTGTAAATGTCGTCAGCGATACTGTCTATTTCTTGGAAGGTGATTCACTCCTAGCAATCAGTACATCAGGCATGTCGGCTCTGAAGCGGCATCGGAACGATCCTGATTGTGTGAATCGGGTGTGTTGCTCCTCGGAGAGCTGGAAAACAGGCAGGATCCCCGCAGTCCAGGAAAACTGTATCAGAAGTCGGCCTTTCCGAAATGAACAAATGTAGACAGGTGAGCAGCGACAGACAGACAGTAAAGTAAGCACCGTAGAACAGCAAGTTGTGCAAAAGGAGTGCACTTTCGGTTCGACGTGAAACGTTTTCGTCCCGAACGTTTTGTAAAATACCGGGCCTACACGTTGACAAGGTAAACTCGGACTGTCGGTATTATAGTGTCGCTCGCTAGAGGGAAACAAAGTCTTTCAATTGGCAACTGCGGTTAAAAAAAAATACACTTTCTCGGGCTACTGGCAGTCCTGGGATCTCGTCACCGATATTGACTTTAAAATGGGCGAAACCTGCATCGAATCTGTGCTGAAAATGCATCATGATGATCGTGTTTACGTCCTCCGGTGCACCTGCAAGAATGCGGCCAGCGGGAAAGGGGTTAAATACCTGCAGTGGGCGGGGCTT